GGGCCCGCCGGCTGCCGGTCGCGGCTCCCGGGCCCCGGGCCCGATCCCGCCCCCTCCTCCGGCTGCTCTTTCTAGGGATCGCTGTTGGAGACCTGTTGCTTGCGAGCTTGGATTCGAACTCCCTTCTCCCCCCGCCCCCCTTCCCCGCCGCCCCTCCCTGAGGCTCCTGGGTAGGAGAGGGGGGCTCGGGTCGGGCGAGGTTGGGGCTGCCCCGGAGGAGGGGCGAGGAGGCGCCCCCGCCCCCGGGGGAGAGGGTGGGCGCAGCTACGTGAGTGTGAGTGTGTGTGTGTGTGTGTGTCCGGGAGGACTGGGGGGGGCTGGGCTCCCTGACTTCGTTCCCAGAGAGAAACGGGGCCAGAGACAGGCCGGACGAGGGAGGACGGGGTTGCTGGCCGCAGTCTGGAGAAGATAAGGCACCTGCGGCCGGTCAGGCTGCGGGCAGCGACTGCCGGGCGCCTTCGCCGGGCACGCCCGGGACTTGGGGCCTGGCCTGCCCCCCAGCCCCCGCGGGAGCCGATGGAGCCATCGCCCGCCTCGGGCCGCTGAGGTGTTCGTTTGTCATCATGCCTACAATGAGACTGGCAGCTCAGAGTCGTGGCAAGTGTCAGCGCCGGGCAGGGCGGCTCACGCCTATAGCCCTGGCTACTGACAAGCTGAGATCTGAGGAACCTGTTCGAGGACGGGCCAGGCAGGAAAGTTGTGAGACTCACCTCTGCTTAACCAGCCAAAAACAAAGCCAAACGCGGAGCTGTCGCTCAGATGGGAAAACAGCACCCAGGCTCTGACACACACACACACACACACACACACACACGTAAAAGTATTAGGGCCACCATTGGCAAGGATAGGAATACACCACATCGTTCCGGAGACCCTGGGTGGAAGTGTTCATACACTGCCAGGGCTACGTGCATATGGGGGTTTTGTTCATTTGTTTTTTGTTTGGGGGTGGTTTTTTTGTTTTGTTTTTGGTCGGTCGTGGGGCTTGAACTCTGGGCCTGGGCGCTGTCCCTCAGCTCTTCAGCTCAAGGCTAGTGCTCTATCACTTGAGCCACAGCACCACTTCCGGCTTTTTTCTTTTTGCTTATGTGGTGCTGAGGAATCAAACCCAGGGCCTCAGGCATGCAAGGCAAGCGCTCTGCCACTGAGCCACCTTCCCAGCCCCTGTTTTTTTTTTAATTGTTAAAAAGGTGAAAAAAAAAGTTAAAAAGAAAACAGTGAAAAGTTAGAGTTCTGTAAGTCAGGCGAAGAATACATTTCTTTTTGGGCAATGTCACCCCTTCCCTTGCTGTCTCCTAGTTTCTTCCTCCAGACGCCACCCACAAGTTGTATAGTTCATTTTCAACATAGTATAGAGTGAGTACCACTGCTGCATTTGTCCCCACACTTACCCCCTTTACCCTCCCAAAGGATAATTCTTTTTATTTGCTTATTTTCCCCAACTCTTTTTTGGAAAATTTTCCAATTCCTATAAATTGAAAAGCAGTGCAGTGAATACACTCACTTTAGACTGGGTGACACAGTCTCATGTGACTTCACAACTCTGTTTCTTAATGTCCCATGCGACCATCATCATGTACTTAAGGCAAACCCAGCAGGCATAGCCAGCCACACACCCAGGCTGTGTTACAGTCTTGTAATATGTCTCTGACCTCCACTTTCTCCTGTACAAAGACCTCTGCGATTACCTTGGGTCCATTTGGAAAACCCGGATACTCTCTGGTTGGAAGATCTGTAAGTTGCTCCTGCATAGTCCCTTTGCCATGGAAAGCGGTGTGCTCATTCGTGCGTATTGATGAGTGTGTCAGTGTCCATTCTTCCCTGTGCTTACTCTCATGTCCCTTTATGGTCTTTTATCTGATCACTTCATCGGATTTACACTTTACCATAGGGTGAAGTTCATATTCGGTCTATGGCTGATGGAAAAGGCTTTCTGGGTCACACATGTGCACACATGTCACGTTGTAGCTTTCTGCAACCCTGTCCAGGAAGTTGCACAAGTTATGATATGTAATGTGTAATACTTCTAAAACAAGGGCTTTTCCTGTCATAACTGCAAACATGGATCTAATGGATCTAATCCTGTCTTCCAACACTTAAATTCCCCCAGTTGACCAAATGGCTTTCTTGCTTTTTTTTTGTTTTTGTTTTTCTTTAAAAAGCTCCTGGATCTAATCAGGGATCAAACATTACATTGATTGTGGTTTCTGTAAAGATTAATCTTGTTTTACTTCCATTTTTAACTCAGTTCTTTGAGATTGTGTGTGTGTGTGTGTGTGTGTGTGTGTGTGTATGTGTGTATCTATCCGTTTGTCTGTCTCCTGGGGCTTGGATTCAGGGTCTGGGCGCTTTCTGTCCCTGAGCTTTTTTGCTCAAGGCTAATGTTCTCCTACTTGAGCCACAGCTCCAGTTCTAGCTTTTTGGTGGCTAATTGGACATAAGAGTCTAACAGACTTCGCTGCCTGTGCTAGGTTCAAATTTTGACCCTCAGATCTCAGCCTCCTGAGTAGCTGGGATTTTTGAAGAACCTAAGGAAATTGTTTTGTAGTCCAGGTTCAGTGACTTTTCTTCATGCTTAGATGCAGATGAAACGTTTTTGGTCACAATGCTACCTACAACATAGTTTGTTACACCAGGAGATCATCAATGTCCATTGATGCCCTTCAGGATGCTTGCTTCATTTATTTGGTGCAAATAATCTATTGGATCTTCACCCGAGTCCTCTTATGAGTAAAGTCCTGTGTGGGTGATATGTGGGAATTGAATATTCACTCCATCTGTCTGTCTTTAAGGAGGATTGAGGCAAGTCAATCTGGGATGATAGTTTCAGGATATTATACTAAAACATCTGTAGTCATGGGAATTGTTTGCTTTCAGAAATGGTTATGAAGAGAATGAACTGCAATTTGTACTTGAGTTTGCCATTGCTTCTGTGGAGATGACGCATGCTGGTATTGGTTACCAGTTCTCTGTGGTCTCTGGGCCGGGGATGCGGACGTCACGGAGTGTAGCCCTTGACTCGGAATATAGTGCTAAACTCACACTCTCCCTGCTCTGGCTCCTCTTTGCTAGAATGGTGGGCTGGTGGGTAATGACGTTTGTCACTTTGAAGCATCAAAACCTACTTCATGCGAATTTTATTCAGTGTCCTGAATCTGGCATCATTTCTATTTTGGCTCTACAGAAAAGGTTATTTGTAGTTATGCCAACTCATTATGGCAGAATCATTGCTCTAAGGTAATTCTGTGGTTTCTCCCTACCAGGAAGCTTTGAATTGATTTTTATTTATTTATTTATAGCCTGGGTACTGTCCCTGAGCTCTTCAGCTCAAGGCTAGCGCTCTACCACTTGAGCCATAGGGCTACTTCCAGTCTTCTGGTGGCTCATTGGAGATAAGCGTCTCACAGACTTTCCTTGTTCAGGCTAGCTTTGAACCGTGATCCTCAGATCTCAGCCTCCTAAGTAGCTAGGATTACAGGCGTGAGCTACTGGCACCTGGCTGAATTGATTAGTTTTTTTTTTTTGTTTTGTTTTTTTGGTTGGTCATGGGGCTTGAACTCTGGGCCTGGACGCTGTCCCTCAGCTCTTTAGCTCAAGGCTAGCGCTCTACCACTTGAGCCACAGCACCACATCTGGCTTTTTCTGCTTATGTGGTGCTGAGGAATCGAACCCAGGGCTTCAAGCATGCAAGGCAAGCGCTCTGCCACTGAGCCACCTTCCCAGCCCTTGATTTTTTTTTTTTAAAACCTGCATTTGCAGTTTGGCTGTTTAAGATTTCCACCTAACTCTCCTTATTCTATCCTAAATTGTTCAATTTCTCCCTCCCTTCCTTCCTTTCCTCCTTCCTTCCTCCCTCCCTCCCCTTCTCTTTCTCTCTTTCTCTCTCTTTTGTTTTGAGAACGTTTTCATTGAGTACTATAGGCTGACCTTGAACTTGTGATCTTCCTGCTTCACCCTCCCCTGGGATTACAGCAGTGTCACCACTCTTGGCAGTGTTTCCATCTCCTTTTTGCTGTTGTGTTTATTGATCAGGAATGGCATTTCCTGAAAATAGGGATTTCAACCAAGTGAATCATTGCCAAGGTCTATTTTATAATAATTAAACTAAAAGCTGATATTTTGGTTGGAATCAGAAAAAAATCACACGTAGAAAATTCCTGGTTTTCAGTCACACTGTTTGTTTTCTGGGCACCAAGTTAAGGTACCTGGTGAACAGAACAAAGCTTGTGCCACATAGAGCTTCCATTCCATTAGCGCTTGAGGGAGAAAATAAGCTAAGCATGGAACATCTGGGGGTAAGTGTGATATGGGATTAAGTACATAGTAAGTGTGTGTGTGTGTGTGTGTGTGTGTGTGTGTGTGTGTGTAGTTGAGGGATGATCTGACCTTCCCCCCCCATATATAGTCTAGTGGGTTATAATGTAGTTCAGAGTTGTACACTATGAGCACAATCAATGTGAGAATATTTTCATCACTCGTTCTTGATTCCACTGAGTGAGTGACTAGCTTTGCATGGAGAACAGACAAGGTGGGACCAGGTTAGGACCAAGACCACCGGGCGTGGGGCAGCCCAGGGCGCACATTCCCAAACCAGAGACCAGAGGCAAGCAGTGGTTTCAGGAGGAAGACGGCACAGTAAGCAGTCCGGAGGCCAGTATTGTGTTCAGGGGGAACTGGGGACAGATGGAGCTCCTGGCAGGCAGGAGCTTGCTGGCAGGAGTCTCCCAGAGGGCAGTGCGGAGATGCGGGCTGATGGGCCATGAGCACCATGACCACCCAGCAGCCGGATGGAGTTGCAGGACTGGATAGGTCTCCAATCTCCAGGAGGACCCGTGTGGTCCTTTAGAGACAGTCGCAGCTTTAGAGAAGCTGGCCAAGTGCACCCACTGTGACCTGGACCCTAAGGTCAGGGTGGAGCCAGCTGAAAGGCTGGCTGCCTCCTTGCTGGCGCTGATGGGGGCCAAGTTCATCCCGAGGCCACGTTGGAAGTGAGATGACTCAGCTGTGGAGGTTCTGAGGCCAGGGAGCTGGTCCTCACAAAGCCCTTTATGCATAGGATTGTATTCATTTAGAATCACATAGAGAGCTGCTCTCACGTGGCTTTTCTTTCCCTGGATTTTTGGCAGCACTGGGGGTTGAACTCAGCACGCTGCACTTGCTGGGCAGGTGCTCTACTGCCCTACTGCTCTACTGCTGAGCCATGCTACCAGCCCTTTATTTGCACTGGTTATTTGTTTACTTTTGCTGGCACCTGGGTTTGAACTTGGGGCCAGGCTGAGCAAGCAAAGGGGCCCTTCCACTTGAGTCCCACCTCTAGCCCTTCGTCTTTTTTTCTTCACTGATGTGCCCGACATAGATGTGCTCAATAAATATTTGAGTATGTAATGGATAAGTTCTTAGTGTTTGAATTAGTTTATTAGTGCACCAATTTGGCATCCTAAACAAGTTTTTACCATTTTACAGTCCCAGAGGTCAGGAGTCCAAGAGGTGTCACCAGGCTAAAACCAAAGGTGTGGATAGGACTGGGTCCCTTCTGGAAGGACCAGAAAGAGTTCCTTTTTTTTTTTTTTTTGCCAGTTGTGGGGCTTGAATTCTGGGCCTGGGTGCTGTCCCTCAGCTCTTCAGCTCAAGGCGAGCTCTCTACCACTTGAACTACAGTGCCACTTCCTACTTTCTGGTAGTTTATTGGAGGCTCACGCACTTTCCTGCCCAGGCTGGCTTTGAACCGAAATCCTCAGGTGTCAGCTCCTGAGCAGCTAGGATTACAGGTGTGAGCCACCAGTGCCTGGTGTTCCTTACCTTTTGCAGCTTCTTAGAGGCTGCCTGCATTCCTGGGCTCATGGCCTCTTTCTCTTCAGAGCCAACAGCATAACATCTTCAAAATCTCTAGGACACTGGCCTCCTGCCTCCCCTTTGCTGGACCCTTATGATTACGTCAGGTCCATCTGGAAAATCCTGACAATCTCCCACGGAAGGTCCTTAATATAATCCCATCTGCATGAAAGTATCATTTTGCCCAGTTTGGGGGATGAGGATGTGAAAATCTTTGGGGTCTGTTCTACCCCTGCACTTTCATTTCTCTTTCTAGTCTTTTACTGCAGATTACTTATCTGATGCATACTTCACCATGATAGGTCTTTCACTGCCTCTGTGGTTTGAAATCATTTCCTCATGAATGGATTGTGGTGGGCACAGGGTTTTGTTTCGTTTTATGCCACAAGTGGGCCTTGAGCTCAGGGCCTGAGGGCTGTCCCTGAGCTTTTGTGCCGAAGGCTAGCACTCTGCCACTTGAGCCACAGATCCACTTCTGGCTTTTGGAGATAAGAGTTTTACAGACTTTCTTGCCCAGGCTGGCTTTGAACTTCGATCCTCAGCCCTCAGCCTCCTGAGTAGCTAGGATTATAGGTGTGAGCCACAGGTGCCCGGCTGAGATTATGGGTTTGTAATAAAGGTGAGGTTGGCCCACTGTGTAGCCTTCCTCACAGGATGTAGCGGAGCCATAGGCGTGGCCTAGTACAGCCGGAGACCACCAGATGTGGCCTCTCAGCCTTGGTCTCCCAGCTTACAGAATTGTGAGCTGAAGAATTTTAGTTGTAGCAGCACAAAGCAGACCTGCACAGCTGCCAAAGAAAACAAAGGTGGAGATAATGCACTTGAAGTGGTAAACAAGAAATACTGTAAGATAGAACAAATAATTTTGACTGTGTTGGGCCAGGGAAATGAAAAGTACTGGATAACAATCGATAAGTAGCTATTAAGTAGGTGGCAAATTAAGGTATGGGAGATTAAAGAGAAATCACTTAGTTTTTTTAAAAGTGTTTTCTATAGATCTGGATTTGCTTTTGCTATTAAGAGCCCTTTAATGGTCCCATTCATCTGAAGTACAATATAATACCTTTTTTTTCCCCCTACTTGAAGCGACTTAAGTGGAACTATATCAATATGTAGGTGCCTGAGGTAGGTGCCAATGGTTGTAGTTCGGAGATATAGGGCTGCAGCTGCTCCCCCTTCTCTGAAACTCAAATGGTTTTGGAAAGGAAGCCCTGGAGAGGATGAGGACCTTTTGTGGTGCTTGCCAAGCCTTATGTGTGACCCAGTCTTTCGTGTCCTTTGCAGAGATGTGGTATGGTGTGTTCCTGTGGGCACTGGTGTCTTCTCTCTTCTTTCATGTCCCTGCTGGATTACTGGCCCTCTTCACGCTCAGACATCACAAATATGGTAGGTTCATGTCTGTAAGCATCCTGTTGATGGGCATCGTGGGACCAATTACTGCTGGAATCTTGACAAGTATGTTAGACATTAAAATACCAGTCAAAACGTTGAAATGTGCCTCGTCGGTTCATTTAGGATTCATTTTAGAAATATATCTGAGTGGGATAATTATTTTTAAAGAGTAGTGTCTATCATTATGAGACTTTCCTCCTCTTCCCCTCCTCCTCCTCTTCCTCCTCCTCCTCATTTAATAATGTGTGCTGGTCCTGGAGCTCAAACTCAGCACCTGGGTGCTGTCCCTGAGCTTTTTTTCATTCAAGGTTAGCACTCTACAGCCACAGCTCCACTTTCAGCTTTTTAGTGATTAATTGAAGATAAGAGTAAGAGACTTTTCTGTCCAGGCTGGCTTTGAAATATAGATCCTCAGATCTCAGCCTCCTGAGTAGCTAGGATTACAGGCATGAGCCACCAGAGCTCTGAGGCTTTTTTCTTCTCTTTTGTTATGGGCTTATTTTAGTTCTGGGGTTTGCTTTTTGCTCAAAGCTGGTGGAGAACAGTGGAGCCTTTTTGGTGCTTAATCATAGATGAGTGTCTCATGGCCATCCCTTCCCCAAGCTGGCTTCAAACCGTGTTCCTCTGATCTCAGCCTCCTGAGTGGTTAGGATTACAGGTTTGAGCCACCAGTGCCCAGGTCTTGATAAAAGTTCTTTAAGCTTCCTTCTGCCCAGCCCACTCTTTGAGGGGAGCTAAATTACAGAGGCTCAAAGAAGAATGTATTCTGAGACATTGGTGACATCCAGTGCTACTGGAGGTAGTTTTTGTTTTTGTTTTTGTTTTTGGTCTGGTCGTGGGGCCTGAACTCTGGGCCTGGGTG